TGAGTGAAAACTGGGAATTGCTGGTGAAGCCAGAGAAGGTGGTGGATACCAGGGAGGGAACTGATGGCAGAACTGAAGTTTTGATACATTGGGAAGACCTTCCAGAATTTGAAAGGTCTTGGGAAGATGCTCAAATGTTGAAGACACAGTTTCCAGACTTCAAGCTTGAGGACAAGCTTGTTTCTTTGGGGGGGAGTATTGATAGGACTCCGGCTATTATAAATAATAAGAATAGATATGGCTTAGTCTATTCTAGAAAGAAGAAGTAATTTATCTGTTTTTGGCTGGCGGATAGTTGTTATGAACTATTAACTACTTATAGTTAAGGAGTTGGGACTATAAATAGAATAAACCAGTTAGGAGTTAGGCAGGCTGTTAGATGCTTGGCTTGGGACTGGAAAGTTAGAGTCGTATCGCTAGCTTTGGGACTATTGTATTGTATACCGCCATTAATGAAGTTTGTAGATTGTTTCTGGTTCGTTCTGTATATTGTGGATTGCGAACTGTTCTTATCATTTATCCAGTAGGGTGGGAGACTGGAAGGACAAAGTAGAGTTTCATCCCTGATTTTTGTGTGTTCCTAGTACTGTAGCTATTGAGGAGGTTAAGGTAATCTTGTGGCCTTCCTTTCTTTTGTTCTCCAAATTTCAATGTTGAGGCTGGATCTTGTTCACATATCTGTTTGGTACTGAGTTCATTTTTAAAACTGAGATAGGTTGTGCTTTAATCAGAATTGGTTAGTTGCCTTTTCTCATATCAATTACTCCCTTTGTTTTCCTTTAAGGGTTCAACTTTCTATTCAGAAGTTGTAGTGTACTTGTTCCATTTCCCGCTTTTGGAGAATAAAGGTTTTGTGAATACCATAAGTGCCCCTAACTTTTTCATGCCCTCTCCTACTATTTTTACTTTTTCATGTTTTCTTCTCCTACTTTTTTTTGTCTCTTTATATACTATGCACGTACTCTTAAAATCTCTAAAAGCCTAGCAGAACAATTAAATGAAAATGGAGGGAGTGTTCAATTTTATTACTTGATCTCTTTTGGAGATTATACCCTGCTGCTAGTCACTTGTATAACAAGAGGATGCTCAAATGGGAATATAATAACTAGCGTTTGTTAGGCACTGGTAATTCAACCAGCAAAAGCAGTAAACAAGCTCACAGATCTAAGCAGAAATGTAGATAAACTGAAGTTTATTGAAATGGGAGATAATCCGTAGGTAACAACAAGGCAACCGGGACAGGGACTTCTTAGGCAACAAGGCAACACACAAATCAAAATAACCGTCTACCCTATTACGCTACTCCCCTTTCCTATTTATAGCATTAAGTCCACACAGGGACTAAAATAGCTAAAGTAATTACTAAACTGACCCCCAGCCCCTTTATTTCTCCTTTCAAATACCGTATTAAAAATACTAAATAGGCAGATTCCTAACATTACTCCCCCCCTAAATAACCACCTTGCCCTCAAGGTGGGTAATAAGACACAGCCTTGATCTTGAACTTTCTCTTCATCCTGGAACCTCTCCCTTCCCAGTACCTCTTGGTTTTCTGCTCTAGGAGCTTCATTTCTTTCACTTTCATCATCACATTTTCCACAGCCAACAGGGGCATAAACTGGGTATAAAAATTCCCTAGAATTACACTTGAAGCCTCCTCCTTGTAACCAACCTCTTCATGTAAGGGTTCTAAGGCAGTCCTGCTATGAGGCGTTGCAGCTCTAAATGGATCCAGGAACAAACCAGTTTGAACCCTTATAAGAACTCCCATACCAACTTCAACTGTGTAATCAATTTTCCTCTTCCCCTCAATTCCTTCCAAATTGGAATCCTTCAGCTGAATTCCCTCTCCATCCCATTTTCTGCCTTCCCAGTAGATAAGATAGCCCACACCATTCTCCTGTACAGTTTGTGACGTGGTCTTCAGAGATGCCTCCATAGAGTTTGACTTAGGATCCCCTTGAATTGTCTGACTTATCCCCAAATGATGCCACTTTATGCTCTGCTTCTGAAAGTTAATCTCCACATCCCCCAATCCAGTCAACCAATCCATGCCAAGAACCAAGTCAGCTCCCTCCAACTCCAGCATGTAGAAATCTTGTTGAATGACAGCTCCCTGCAAGCTCAGAATGAGTTTTTCACACCTGCCCTTGTTGAAGACCCTATCACCATTCCCAAGCTGCACTTGGTAGCCAGCAATGGTCTGATAAGGGAGGGTTAACTGCTCTACCACTTTCTGGGATATGAAGTTGTGTGAGGCCCCACTATCAATTAGAACATCCACTAGCTTCTCTCCCTTAGCCCATTTCAAAATCCCCTGCACCCTAAAAGCCCTCGTAGAGGGTTTTCCGTCCTGGTTCATGAAGGACAATTGCATGGACTTAAATTCCATGGTGATCTTTTCTTCTTCAGGGATTACCCCTTCTGGGTTAACTATTTCCTCTTCTCCCTCGGAGTCCTCCACTAAAATCAGTTTGTAATTCTTCATTTTGCAAGAGTGCTCTCTTCCCCATCTTTCATCACATTTGAAGCAAAGTCCCTTCCGGCTTCTATCTTGGTATTCTTCTTGTGTCAGCTGTGGCCCTACTCTTCTTATGTCTGGGGAATTTATTTCAGTTTCCTTCTTCCCATCGGGAGTAAACCAAGGTTGAGTGCCCTGCTGTCCTGAATTATTTCTACCACCAGTCTGGGATCCTGAACTTCCAGCTTTTGGCTTGTATCCCTCACCCCAAACAGGTTGTCTATAGTTCATGGATCCCTTGTCCCTTCCTTCCAGTTTCTCTGTAGTTTTACCCTTAGTGTAAATAGCATCATTTTTCTTCTCAATCGCTTGGGCCCTGTCCATGGTAGCAGCTAGAGATTTGCCATTGAAGAGTTTCAGTTCAGCCTTGATTTCATCCTTGAGGCCATTGATAAAAATGCCTCTCAGCATACCCCTGTCTATGTTCTTCTGTGTAGCTATTACCTTCTCAAACTCATCCCGATAGTCCTCCACAATTCCAGTCTGTTTCAGGCTCAACATGGCTCCATAGGGATTCTGCAATAAGTCAGGTTGGAACCTACGGATAACCGCATCCTTCAGATTTTCCCAGGTTATCTCCTCGGCCTGTTGTTCCCACCACTGAAACCAATTCAAGGCCCTATCATCCATAGCCACCATTGAAACCTCAACCTTGTCTTCCTCCTCTGTTTTATTCAATCTAAAATAACGCTCCATTCTTACTAACCAGTTATAGGCCCCTACTCCATTAAACAATGGCAAATCCACCTTCCGACCAGTATGCACTCTGCGAGTAGGGATGGGAGAGTGTACAGAATTACCTCTCGAGTGCTCTGGGCTGTGTAGTGATCGCGATCGGTGGTGATGTGGTGATCGTGATCGACGGTGATGAGGGGAACGGTGATGCGGTGATCGCGATCTCCCTCTGGACGGATCCCTCCTGTTCTGATAAGCTGCCATGGATGTCGCGATGCTGTTCTGGATTTGCTCATTCATCGCAACAGTGAGATTCGCGATGGTAGCTCTCATCTCCCGCTCAAAGGCTTCCATGCGTTGTTCCATTTTGGATCTCGTTTTTACCATCCACTTCAGAAAAAAAAAACCAGGTTGCAGTCGCTACCTCACAACGTTGCTGAAACGAGAAACGCTACTGCCGTCGCACTTCACTTGTGATCCCCAGGAGCGATTGCTCTGATACCATTGTTAGGCACTGGTAATTCAACCAGCAAAAGCAGTAAACAAGCTCACAGATCTAAGCAGAAGTGTAGATAAACTGAAGTTTATTGATATGGGGGATAATCCGTAGCTAACAACAAGGCAACCGGGACAGGGACAGGGACTTCTTAGGCAACAAGGCAACACACAAATCAAAATAACCGTCTACCCTATTACGCTACTCCCCTTTCCTATTTATAGCATTAAGTCCACGCAGGGACTAAAATAGCTAAAGTAATTACTAAACTGACCCCCAGCCCCTTTATTTCTCCTTTCAAATACCCTATTAAAAATACTAAATAGGCAGATTCCTAACAGCGTTAAGTTCCATTTTTTTTGTATTTGTACACTATTAGCTACCCTGTATGAAGGTGAGGACTATTATGTAGGTGTTGCATTCTAATGGCGACTTGGTATTTACGTATTTTGAATAGTTCAATGAAATATGGAGCAAATTTTCGGGTAGAAATTTATGGACTACCTGCAAATGAGATCAAGTTGTGAGTGACTATGCTTTTGATGATGAACTGGAATAATTGTATCGTTTGCTGCAAATGAAATATCTATGTTTTAGTGGGCATATTCACGTGTTGTTTGTAGTGTGCAATGCAACTGAAATGTCTGTTTTAGGGGCATAATATTGTAGTGTGCTTTAATTGCTTGTAAGAGTGCTGCATGTTCTGAAGTAACTCCAAGGTCTAGTTGCTTTAGATATATAGATATAATATAACTATGTGCGATATTAAAGAAGTGTTTGCTATTTATTGTGCTCCTAAAAAAGTGATTTTTCTTAGTGAAAAGTTATTATAGAGAAACTGCTTGATAAAAGCCGGTAGTGTTTTAAATTGGAAGTGATTTTATATTAAAAGTAAAAGTTCGGTAGAAAAGTGATTTGTAATGTAATATTCAGTGGAAGTACCAAAATGTCCAATTTTTCCGCATGCTCTGTTTTGTCTTGTTATGTAGGATAATTGTTGCATATATGTTTAGGGCTAAAAGATTGAGTTAGCTACAGAAAAACCGAAAAGCATTTACAAGAAAGTTAAGCGCAAGCACGTGTTTGAAAACCTTATGTTTAACGTTTTTGAAGCAAGAAGCTGAAAAGTGATTTTTTGAACCATCACAAGCACTGCCTGATTCTCTAGCTCTATTTTCCTTTTTGCGTATTTTCAATTTTATTTGCTCTTGTGCTTCTTCTTAAGGATATGTGACTATTGTTAGCTCACAAATTTCAATCTGATTTTGTTTCCATGTGTGGAAATTTGAGCGCGTTTTCTTGTTACAGGCAGTTAAATTAAAAGGAAGGAGAAGCACCTCCTGGACTCCCTTTGAGAGGTGCTGGTCAGGATTCTGACGCACAGCCAAAGGTGAAGACTTGCCTGTATGTGTTTTCAGAAGGTCAATTAAAGTCATTGGAGTATAGTAGATAATTAGTTGAAAAACAGGTTTCTAATGGCGATCTTCCTAATCCGTGTGGTGCACTATTTGATTAACTCTGGGAGGTAACGAAGCAGAGAATACGGAAAGCATCCATATATGGGGAACTGCCTGGGCTGGGACTTGTGGTCGGTAAGTTCTTCTTCTTTGAGGTCATATGTTTTCTGGACATTTGGGTGCATTATGTGTCTCTTCTCATTCAGGTATTGTTGTTGAGGTAAATTAGCATCTCACTCATGCAATAGGCACTTATAAGAAAGCAAGAAGATAAAAGGGGCGAACAAGAAAAGGTAAGCAAAAGTAAACCTATCTATTATTATATTATATGTTATTATACTCCGTATTATAATTAATATTAATACAGTTATGATCTTTATGAACCGATCCGGCTGATAAAAGGAATTGCTTAGGTTATCGTTTGAATTTTCTGAAACAAAAAAGTGTCTGGCAAAGCAACACCTTTGGGAAGCCAACAGACCCCAATTTGTATGCAACTATCACCTCAAAGAATTCATTTTTTGTTTGAATTCAATTTTTGATCCAAATATAAAATTACATGGATGGCCTTGACAAGAGGAACAACTTTTGCTTTAAGGAGTCACTCAGCTGAAATCCATAAGGCTGCATTAATGAAGAAAATTTTAGTTTCACCGCTATTTCATGGCATGTATTTTTTTATTTTGATTAATAGTCTGAAATTAGGTAATGCAAAACATACCAAATGATTTGTTGAGGTGTTTCATAGCTGCCTTTCCAGCATTCTTAAGAAACAATCATTACAATCTTTTTTTAGAAGTGGAGAAGTGAATGGGTATCCGAAGGGGGGTGGGGGAGAGGGGGGTAGAAAGGGAGAAGAGAAAGAAGGGTGGTTGCTCAAGGATTTAACGTGCCTTGATTGCAGACAGTTGAAGGTAAGACAAGTGGCAACAACTTATATTCCATGGTCACCGAATTGTAGATGGACTAGATGCCATAACCTGTATAAGTAGAAAATGGGAGCAGAGGGGTTGAACAAGGAAGACAGGAAGAAGACGGAACCAGAAGAAGAAGAAGGGTAAGGAGATATCGAAATTTAAAAGAAAAATCAACGCGGTTTAACTATTAATGATTTTTTTTGAAAGAAAATTATAGTAAACTTAGCTTGCTGACAGTTAGACAAGATTTCTTTGCATTGCCCCACTATGTTGAGTTTGAGTATCTTTTCTGCATCATGGTTTTGAATTTCAGGGTTGCTCTCTCTATGTATTGCATTTGATCATACCTTGGTTCTCTGGATTACTCCATTTCATAGTTCGCATGTGTTACGATGGTTTGGTAATAAATGAGAAAAAGATGGAAGAGGAAGATGGGAGACAAAGAGGGAGAAGAGGGAAGGGGATTACTCCATTAAAAACCATTGCTTGTATGCAATTTGAGTTTGTGTGGGCCAGATCCTGGGGTGAAGGGAGCAGGGGGGCAGTCCACGGGGAAATGGGGACAGTTCATGGGGAAAGTGGAGGGGAGAGCAGGCCCTGGGGGAAGTGGGGCAAACCAGTGGATAGTGGAGGGCATCCCATGGGCGGGGCGGGGGGCATGCCTAGTTTCTGATGCAGCTGCAACACTCGGAACATGGCTAAGAATGGAAGGACTAAAAATAAAAGAAAAGAACTTGTTAGGAGAAGATATAAAGCAGAAGAAGAAAATAAGAGATAAAGGTATCAATTTTTTTAATGAAAAGATAGAATTAGAGCAAGAACAAACAAACAATACCGAAAAATATAGAAAATAAGAAAGAATGAAAAATTGAATTAAACAAGAGGATTAAGACAGAAAGATGAAACGTGCGCCATTCAAAAATAAGTTGAGAAGCATTTCCCAGCAAAGGCGTGACAAGCGTGCGCCTCAGCTCTTCTTGCGCCTGAGGAATTATAAGGTGCTACCCATGTTTAGCGCCATTCAAATAATAGGTCAAAACAACTTAAACCCATGTTAAACCCTTCTAAGTCACGGTAAAAGCCTTCTATCGCGCGTCATCATTACTCTCCTATGCTCTACTCGCGCACCCTGTTCAGCGCTGCAACCGCATCCAACGAATCAAAGATCAACCCATTGAACCTAGCAACCCTTAAGGTTTCTTCTTCCTCATCATCTTCCCATGTTCTTTCTTCTTTCTTTTTCAGATTGTAGTTTTCATTTATTTTGCCATCTTCTTGTTGATCCTTTCTTTTTATTCTTTCAGTCTATCTTCTCTCTTTACTTTTACCACTTGCAGTCATCCATGCGTACTTTATAGTTCTCTTTAAACACTATGGTTCTCTTTGCTTCATCTTACTATACAGTCTATAACTTTATATCTTCTTATCATCATTTCATATTTTAATTGTATAAAACGTCATATAATCTAACTCAGTTAATAGTTTCACACACTACAATTTATGCTACCCGTAGTCCTCATACTGCAAAATCAGCCAAAACAGACCCTGCTCGGTGTTTTGTTTATGTGAACCATCAACCATTACTTTTTTCTGTGGATTGTGACTTTGTTATTGAGAAACATGACTTTTTAATGCATTTAGTTCGATATGATGTTGAATATGTCATATTTGATCACTCTAGAGTAGTATACATAATATTTTCTAAATAGTGCGCTTGACATGAGTCAGGCAAGTGTTTTTTTTGCGCCTTGCGCCTCAAAAGTACTCTAGCGCGTTGAATGCGCCTCGTGTCTTTGACTACCTCGGGGGAACAGAGTATGAGAAAAGGGCGAAGCAAGAAAAAAGGAGTAGAAAGGGGAAGAAGAAGGGAGGAAAGGGAGTATGGGAAAGGGGAAGAAAGGAAAAATGAGTAGACAGGGGAAGACGAAGGGGGAAAAGGAAGAAAGCTTATTAAGTACTTATATTATTAGGTAATATTATATGTTATTATTAAGTACATTTGTTACAATATTGTATTATAATGTTATATTTTATTAAGAAATGATACATTCTTATATTTTATTTTTCGTTGTTATACAACAACAACATCCAAGCCTTATTCCCAAAAGATTTTGGGGTACTTTCCGTTATTATAGTATAAATAAAATTATATTTGGCAAAACTATGTATATACACGTTGCAGGTCTGATTGGATGATATGTCATGAATGACAGGGTGTTTAGGGTTCTACCTCCGAAGCATTCCCTTATCAGTGTGGTTTAGACACGAGAAAAAGGTAAGCATAGACACTGCCATCATTGTGAGGTTACACTTGTATTGTTTTTAGTATTGGCTATTGATTGAGATCATGTCTTAGGTATTGATTCATCTTTTGGATCAAGTAAGAGATGTGCTTGCAAGAACTGGTCCAATTTTGGCAGGCCCAGGGGAAAGTGGGGCCACCAGTGGATGGTGGAGGGCATTCCCTGGGTGGGGGGGGATAGGAGGACATGCCCATCTTCTAATGTAGCCGCAGGCCCGCAGCACTCGATCTTGCCTAGGAACGGAAGGACCAATGATGACAATCACTCCGCCATCTAAGGGTCGATTCCCTTTAAGACATGTCTATTTGTAATGTTTGGTTATGATAAGCTTAGAAGGAAGTTGAAAGGGGAGGGATTAGGAGAAAGGGGGGGCAAGGAAAAAGGGGAAGAAGAAGGGGGAAGAGGGGAAGAAAGGAAATATGAGTAGATAAGGGAAGAAGAAGGGGGCAGGGAAGACAGATCAAATTAAAGTTATAGTGAAGGAAGCAGATATGAGGATTATATGTATATACTTTTAAAAACCAGTTGATATCATCAAATTTTGTTGATCTTTATGCACCGGCCCAGTTGATCTCCAATTGCTGAATAAAAGGAAATAGCAGCTTCTTCATTGGGTAGTTATCTATAATATAGAGCCTGTTTGCTTAGGGTTATCCTCTGAATTTTCTGCAAGGAAAAAGTGTCTGGCAAAACAACACCTTCGAGAAACAAACAGAGCCTAATTTTTATCCATCTATCACTACACAAAATTCATAATCTGCTTGAATTCAATTTTTCATCCAAATCTAGAATTACATGGATGATTGTGACAAGAGGGACAATTTTTTTATTTAAGGAGTCACTGCTGTATATATTTTCAGCTAATCAAAGTGAATGATTTTTTTTTTTGGGGGGGGGGGGGGGGGGGGAAAGGTGTTTGAAACATGATTATTTTTAGGCAGAACTGCGGAAGGAGTATTGCCTGGTATTTATCATTTGTATTCAAGTACTACGTAGTTTAGTTTCTTCAAGACCTTATCTTCGTGTTTATTTGGAATACTAGGTATACAAGGAGGGTTTAGAAGTTGTGCCTTCAGCCACATTTTTTGACCTTTATGTCAACTTTTTGAAAGATATCATACGTTATGGAAATGGAGTTGTCAAATTTTCAAATATAGCAACATCTCGGGGTGTACGAGAAGGGTGAAATTACGGAAGACCTGGCTTGAACATGTTGCTTTCCTATTACAATTGGGGAAACACGTGGCGAAGATTGGGTGAAAAGTTTTGTTTTGGAGATTTTCCTGAAGCAGTGAATTTGTGGGCATTATGGCTCTCCATACAGTTGGTATACCGTGGGAGCAGCCCATGGTGAAAATGGTGCTCCCACAGCTAATTCACGCGTGAACAGTAATATTCTTTTTTGTTCCTAGTGACAGGAAGATGTAATTTGTGTGTAATGAAATGTAACTCACGTCAATATGCAAGGTAACTGCAGGCAAGTTATGGTGTAACTTTTCTAATACGAAGAAGAATAAATAAAACGTTGATTTCAATGTAAACAATGAAAAAAAGTAGTCTAATTGCTCAATTACTATACATAAGTAATAAATATGTTTTGTTTTTAATATTAAGGCCATAAAAATATTTTTTAAATATCTTTTTTTTGCCAAAATATCATTTTTGTTTGCAAAAAAAAATGAATTTTTTGTTTCAATAGTTGGAGTTTATTTTGGTATGTAACTAGTGTTATGGAAAATGTAACTCATGTCGATGAAAAAATCTAACTTAGGTGTATGCAAAATGTAACTTGTTGAAGCAAGTCTAAGTGTAACTTGGGTACAAGAAGATGTAACTCACGCATAAAATTGTGTAACTCGTCCATAAGAAGATGTAACTTCATATACTATCAATTGTAAACAATGAAAACAAGGAGCTTGATTGCTCAATTACGTTATGTAAATAGTGAATATGTTTTGTTTTTAATATTTAAGGCCATAAAAAATTGTTTCTTAGAATTTTTTTTTTTTGCCAAAACTTTTTTTTGGGGATTTTTTTTGCCAAAAAGAATCAGTTTTTGTGCAAAGAAATGGT